CATTTGAGTTTTATTCTAATGAAGAATAAGCTTAAGGCTTAGGCTAGCCTTTGGAATGTGCATAATTTAAAATATCATCTAAAATATGGAGTTAGGCTTTGCAAGATACAGAAGAAAAAATTACTGTAACATTAAACAATAAAATTAAGCTCAACTAAATGTGATATTTATATGACTATTTTTTTCTGTTCTATTTTTATTGTGTACAGTTTTCCTGAATATAGCATTAAACTATGATTTGCAAATTATCAGTTTTGTAAAATACAGAATTTAAAGCTGTACGTGTAGTTATCTTAAAGTCAATATTATGTTTATTTATATATCCTATCTCATAGTTGTGTGAAATGTTCTTTCTCTTTGGTTTTTTTATACAAATATGACCCTAAAGAAGACAGAATATTCAAAAGACTAATTAGAATGAAGTGTTATTGTGTGTGTGTGTGTGTGTGTGTGTTCACATACTTAAGGTTCTTCAACAAATCTTGGTATTATGTAATTTACTGTTAATCTTCTCAAATATTCCTGTATTCATGTTTTTCTGTGGAAATATCTATCAAACATATAATTCACATTTTAATATAAGCATAGTTCAAATTATGTGGAACTCTGTTCTTTCAAACCTGTTCACCCAACAACAGTCACTAATTTTATCATTAATTAAAGTAAATGATGATTTTTCTTTTTTCAGTGAGATTTTGAAATGTTACTTTCAACACACAACAAATATTCCAAACAAAAGATATGCAAAAATTTATCAGTGTTCAAAATTCATTTTGAATATTTCTGGTTTGCTGGACCAGTACCTTGACAGTTTTAATGGTGTGCATCTATGCTCACTGATCTGCTTATACCTCAACACAGTACTATGCCACATTTTTTTATTAACTAAGTGAAACAAGTCGAATTTGCATAAATGGGTGTAGTTACAACTACTACCTACAGAGCAATACAAAATTGAAAAGATAAATTATGATTGAACAAATAAGAATGATATAAAGAATTTTTTGGCAAAAAGCTCTCTTTGGGACCCAAATACTTAAACTATGGTTTAAAAACCAGCCAAGATTTTTGTTTCCATAATTTCATATCACTACTTTTAATCCTTGCAATGTGGGTACCCATCTCATAATCATACTGAAAATATCAGGACCAAGTAATTTACATTTTGTATAGTTCATACAGAAAAAAATACAATCTTCTCACCAGAGACATCAAAAATGTAACATAATATTCTGTGAATAATTTGTTCTTGCCACAGAATGAAGTCGTCAGATGGGTTTCTGAAGTTTTACTCAGTATCAAGTGTAGGAAATATGTTTAACTAGTCAATTACTTACTATCCAGAGATAAGGAAAAGAAATTATCAGAAAATTTAAAACAAATAAAATTTAAAAGGTCTTTGAAATCTTAGGCAGGTTACCCTTGGATAATGAAAATTTAAGCAACTGAAATCAAAGCTTCAAACCTATTGAAAAATTTAAGTAATTTACAGATGTATGGCAATTTTTTTTCTTTTGGAAACCATTCCAATAACAATTATCTGGGTAAAGAAAAGAAGTTGGTTACAGTAATAAGAAATTTTGTTGGTTGGTTGGTTGTTAAGCACAAAAGGCTATCTCTGCTCTGTCATCTTAGTGGGTATTCAAACATGATTTTTTTAGCATTATAAAACCATAAGACTTAATATTGAATACCACCAGAGAGCAATTACAAGTTTGGGTAGTGACAAGTACAGTTCATCCTTACTGTGACTTAGTTTGCAGTCACTTTAACTATACACACTATATGGTGCTTGTGTATATAGACAAGCCAAAAATCATAAATAAAACTAAACAAATTAACATAGCATAAACACAGAAAAGATAATTCTGTATTAGTAATTAACAATATTTTAAAAAGTTACATTTATCACAGCACAGTTTGAAAGACTGATCATTGGTTTAAATTAAACATTTATAGAGACTCCTGATAAATTTAAAATGTGGTTCAGGTTAAACCCAACAGCATTAAAAAGTAAATATCTATGCAAATGCAACCAATGCATACCAATATAAAAAGGACATAATACACTTTTGAGAGATACATA